ATGTGATAAATAATACACCTTCAATAAATATTTGTAAAAGAAAGAAAATTGGAAAAAAAAAAAAGAACAGTAACATAAAAATATTTACATTAAAATAAATTAAAATGTGATCACTTTAGCTAGTTGTAATAATTATGTTGAAATATATTACTTATTAATATGAATTTAATAAAAACTGAGATCTGGTTTTATAGATTCAGTACCATTCTTCCAAATATTTGGTATAAACTTGATAGCAATGCAACTGTCTGGTATAGACAGTGGTTGTAGATTTCACCAAGGAACAACGGATGCCCCTTCACAGTACACTGACTGGCCCCAGACACTGGTGGCCAAGCCAACAAGCTTCCTTCCCAGGAATCAACGTGGAATGTTTCAACCAGGACCTGGAGATTATTTCAGAGCTGACAGAGTTCTAGGAATCAGCCAACCTCTTTTCACATTAACCCACCAGGAAGAAAAGAATTCAAATACAATAATCTTGATTCCTTCATATGTGAACAAGTGAAATAATATGTTGTAGAAACCTTCAAGTTTTCCTAAAATAATAAATCTTAAAAACATATGCTAATTTTTAGATTGTCTAAAAGCACCCATAAAAACCTGTCACTAGACGAAATACTATATTGGCAAAATTTCCACAGCATACAAGAATATTTTATTAAATTCACCACTGAGATAGTGTCAAGGATAAAGCAATTCATTTGCTACTGAGATACTGTGAAAGCTTTCAGTAGCCTGGAATAAATCAGAATAATAAATCAGAATATATTTGCACTCTGGAAGATTTTGATATGAATAGAGCTTGTGTAGCTTAGCAGAAAAAGCAGAGGGACCCGCCTAAACCTTATCTTTAAGACTCATTAGCCACATGGCTCTAGGCACACCACTTAAGACTTAGTTTGGGGTTCTATAAAATGGGAATTAAAACACCTACCTTACTGGTTGTGAGAATTTAGAATAATGTATATGAAGTACCAAGTTCAGAGCCTGGCACACAGTAGGCACTTAATAAGTGGTGGCTATTAGTATTTCTTCCAGGTTGAAATTGATAGCAAGAACCTTGGCCTCTGTATCTTGACACCAGTACAAACGTGGAATCGTATTTAGCCAGAATCCAGATTCACAGATGTGGGCTCTGGGCAAAAGTGAAGTCGCTCAGTCGTGTCTGACTCTTTGCGACCCCACGGACCGCAGCCTACCAGGCTCCTCCGTCCATGGGATTTTCCAAGCAAGAATACTGGAGTGGGTTGCCATTTCCTTCTTCAGAGTTCATTATTTTTGGTACGAATGCCAGCCATGTCTTTTTCGGAGTGGAAATTATTACTTTGGTAGTGGGTGTGATTGGTGTTGTGGTAACCAGAGTGTGCACTGGAAAGTGCGGGGAGTCGTCTGCTTAGTTCTGTGGCTGTCACAGCCCTGTTGGGGGTGGAGTCTGCTCTCCTGTTGTTGAAGTAGAAGCTCTGATGATTGGGTTCAGTAAGGCTGCCCTGCCGTTAAGTGCATGCTCTTTCCCAAAGGATTTGAGTGCTGAAGCAAGTGAGGCCCACACTGTCACAGAGAATCTCTGCACCACCTGTGCAGGTGTCCTTGGTTTTGCCTAGGAGCAGCCCAAGGCCATGTTCCTTTCTCTGTTGTGGTTTTCTGAGACCTAGTGTTAGGCAGGTACTGGGGGCCAGGGCATTGTGGCTGCAGGAATCGAGGTGGTTGTGCTGCCGTTTAGCACCTGGGCTGTCTCGGTGATAGGACTCTCCCAGGACTTGTCTACCCCAGATGTGACTCCAAGCTGTGGTGTGAGGTAGGCAGGACTGGAGTGCACCCACTGGAAAAGGAACAACTGCGTTCTCCTCTCCAGGGGGGTCGTGCGACTGGTCGTGCCATCTAGTGTGCACACCAGCACAGTCCAGTGATGCTGGACTGGCTCTGGGGCCCACTCCTCAAAATGGAGCCCTGATAATTGGCTCCGACATCAGCCTCACCGCTGTCATGCGCGGGCTCACAAAGTCTACCGCCACTGGAGCATGCTGACAGTGGGGGGGTCTTACGGTGGACTGTGCCCCTGTGGCAGACACTGAGTGGAGGCCCAGATCACATTGCAGGTAATCTCTGCACAGCTGGACTGAGTCCTCTCCCAGGGGCCATCTTCTGAAGGCCAGGTTTCAGCACCTAGCTGCTGTGCGTACTTGCAACCCTGCCCAGATGGCATTTTGGGTTGACAGTGTGAGGTCATGGTAGCCATCAAGTGCTGGTCCCTCTTTGCCCTGACCGCTAGCAAACCAGCACACACAAACTCCTTGCAAGCAGAGACCAGGCCCCTTCAGCTCCCTGTCTGTGCTGGTGGACTTCCCAGCTGGCAAAGGCAGTTTTCAGGGTGAGAGAACCTTTCCTCTTTCATAACTACCCCCCAGGGGTGCTGACCCCTTCCTGATGCCTTATTTTTCTTTTTTGTCCTACCTGGTTGTATGGAGATCTTTCTTGCAGCTTTGGTTGTATAAGAGCTCTTCTGCCAGTTTTCAGTTGGTTTCCTTTGAGAACTGTTCAACATTTAGATGTATTTTTGATGCATATGTTTAGGGAAGTAAACTTCATGTTCCACTCTTGATCTCCTTTTGTGTTTCTCAGTAACTGCAACACTGATTCAGATGAGGTCAAGTGTAGAGGTGGGTGGTTTCTGGCTTACTAAGGATGAGAACTCGGATACCGTGCTTCCCCATCTCTAGGTTCACTACCTTTTGGAAATTGTCAGCTCACCTGGGTCTTACTGCCATTATTTTTATCATAGAACCTATTTATTACTGCAACATCATCTTCTATCCTCTAGGACCCTGCATTCTGCAGGAAACAGTTTGGGTAATGCTTACCTGGTCAGCTTTTCTTATCAAAGGAGAAATTGAGTCCAAGAGAGGGCTTCTCTCTGATAGTTTTATTTTGAAAAATGTGCATGGTTCAGCCTCTCCCCGTGTCACTCATTTCCACTCACATGAGAAACAACAGAAGGACACAAGTCTGGGTTTAAATTATGTGCATTTATGGGAAACAAAGATATTCAACAACAATAACAAAAGCCCTTCAATCTCTCCAAGTTCTCAACCAGTGATAATGAGGCAGTTTCAATGATTGTGTCTGGCTGGGGACTTTTCTGAAAGGGTCAGGACAGTTGAAAGACATTGGCCAAAAAAGAGAAGATGTAGAAAAGGTGAACATTTTAAATGAGAGTATATTAGACCTCCCTTCTGGCCCTTCATCCTATCACCCTTTCAGGTTACAGTCTCCTCCCAGTTTACAGAGATCCTTCCTGAACTTCGCTCAGAAGCAGTCTCTTCCAGAAAGCTGTCCTTGGTCTGCACCAGCTGCATATGCTTTCTTAGTAACGTCATACACACTTTCTCATACTGTCTCCTATCACTTTCTGCCTCACATCTGTCATGTTTGAGTACATGCCTTATGACACCCATTTTTAGTAGACATGCCGCTGAGATTGGGCCCCAGGTTGATCATTCTAGTATTCCCATTGCCCTACCACATTAAGTGCTCAGTATACAGCAGGTGCTCAGTGAGGGTTTGTTGAGTTGAAGTCAGTTCTGCATTTGCCACAACACATAACCTCTTGAGAGTCGTAACTGTCATTTCCACTTCTTCATCCTTCCTCCGTGGTCTGACTCAAGCCATCTTCAGGAAGGAACAGACCTCACCATCACCAACTCATGGTTGCAGATTTGGGGAGGGGAGGAGAGATGGTTAAACTTTCACCCCTGTTTCAGAAGGCTAGGAGGCAGGAAAGGCAGCCACTGGGGAAATCAGGATGACTGTGAGCGATGCTGGCCAGTGCTCCATTTTGGAATCTCATAAGCAGTCATTCTTCAAAAGTTTCCCCCATAAAGCGTGGCGAACTTTGCAGTGGGAGCCAAGGACTGGTGGGGGTGTGGTTGGGCTGCTCTACCAACCCAGAAACCAGACAACATAGGCCAGGAAGCTTTCTTTAGGACATGGTCTGTATTACCTTTGGAGGTGTGTGTTAGAGGTTGTCTGTCTAGTTGTTCGGTTGGAGCCATGGTGGGAACATTAGCCCTGTGGCGAGTTGTCAGGCACATAGATTGTAGTAAGGCTGAAAAATACAGGCTGCGAAAATGGGCCTCTCCTCCTAAGGGGGAAGGGTCAGGAGATTTTGGGAGCAATGAGGGAGGGTCCCAAGGGGTCCTGCAGCCCCAGCACTAACAGGTCCTGCTCTGTCTCCTGCTTCCGGAGCCCACTTTCTCCCTCTTGATTCTTCACGTAGGGGCCAGGCACGGGGCCATGGGAAGTAATGATGCAGAAAAGGGAAGTGCTTTTTCTTTTCCTACCATGAGTCATAGATTTGGACTAGAGAGAGGTGAGGATCAAGGATAGAAGGAGGATTGAAGAGGCGAGGAGAGGCCAAGGCCCTATCCACTTCTGTTTATTTCTGTAACAAATAGACGTGAAACCCACATTTCTAGCTGCATCACCCCCAGACAGCACTGAGGTCCTAGTGGGGGTGATAAGAAAATTCTTCAGGGCTCTCAAAGGTGTTCAGTGACTTGGGGAGAACACTGTGGATCCTCTTTGAGAAGGGCCCCTCTGGGGCCAGTGAAGTGTGAAAACTGCAGGGTCAGCATCCTCCCTGGAGGTTGGGGAAAAGAGCCGAGAAGCAGAGAGAAGAGAGACTCCTTCAGGCACCTCTTTTAGGAAAGAGAGTTGGACCTTGGGGGACTCAAGTCAGGACAGATGTTTCAGTATAAAAAGGATCCCCAGTAAAAGGATGGGAGTCCCCGCAAATTCCTTCCCAAACCCCATTGCACTTAAAAAAGAGAAAGTAAGGAGCATAAAAATATCTTGATGATGTGGGCTTGCCTGACGATACAGAAAGGCAAGTCTCACGGCAGGCAGTGTGTCCCATTACACAAGAGGATTATACCGAGCTTCAGTATAGAGACTTTACATATATCTTTATATAAATGCATATATATTTATAGAGCCTCTGCCTAGAACAGCCGGGCTTGCTTCTTGAGTTCATTCCTCTTCCAGAGGGCCAGCCGGTCAAACTCGGAGATGGTCATGCCAAAGACCTGGTAGAACTCTTCCTGGGACAGATGGCGCTGGAAGAAGAGGGGAGGAGACAAGAGAGGGAACAACCTGAGGATGTGAGAGGCAGGTGGAGGCAGGAGTGGTTCTTGTACATTTCCTCTGGTTCAGCTGTGCCTGGCACAGTGTCTGACCCACGGAGGGTGTGTGATGAGTATCTGTTGAGTGGATGACTGTGTGAGTGAGTGTTTGCTGGGAGGGACCTCTGTAGTTGATCTGGCTGGAGAAGCTTCCGCTACCCAAGACTGGGACTTCTGCTTCACCTGAGTGCCTCTCGGTTGGCCTCCCCTTTCTGCATCCCTGCTCCATGCACTGTTAGTAGACTGCTGTCTACTTTGGACAAAAAGGAGGCATGTCCAAGATTTTAGGGTGTATTTCCTCTTAGTAATAAGTTTACAAAAAAAATCTGGAAGAAAAAAAAAATCTGGGATGGGGAATACATGTAAAAAAAAAAAGATACACTATGGTTGTGAAAAAAAAAAATATATATATATCTAAGGACTCCCATTTGGACATAAGGAGAGAAAGCTAAAAGACACATTTTTGTATATTTAATACATAAATTGGCCTTAACACATTCTTGAGATATTTTATTTGATAAAAATTGCAGATAAAGTACTATTGAAAAAGGTTCTTCACTACCTTTCAAATAGATCATCATTAAGAAACCCAAAAAAAAAAAAAAAAAAAAATCTGGAAGGTTTTTCTTAGGTCAATGGAAAAAAAAAAATTCCTCTCCTGATTTCTCCATACCATACTCTTTGTTATATGAAAACAAGTATGCCACATAATGAAACATTGTTCTTCATGTCTTAGTGGATTTTTTAACCCCTTTTTGCCTGTCCTCTCTCCTGCCCTTTCTGAGCAGAGTTGAAAGTTGATACAACTTTTATTTCTAAGCTTTGAGTTAGAAATATATGCCACTTAAAATGTGGCAAAATGTAAACAGTTGGTGAAGGATAAATGGATCCTTATTTTGCTATTCTTGAAACTCTTCTGGAGGTTGAGGTCTGAAATTTTATTTTTTAAATAAAATTTATGATTTTGTTTAAATAGAGAATTAGATAGCCTGTATCCTGCCTGAAAGCTTACTGCATTCACTTGCTCTTGTTGCCAGTTATATTAGCTCATCAGGTATTGAAGGAAATTGAACGAGACGTATGTGTACAGTCACATAACAATTAGCCAGTTCTCTGGCTTATTGTCACTGTGAATGAATGTTTTTGCCACATTTCCAAAACTTTCTTTAGGTAAAGGTAACTTTGATACTTTTGTTAGATATCACTGGTTATACATCTGAGTTGATTTTTTTGGTACTTAGTATTTAATACTACCACCAGTTACCTATATTGCATTTGTATCATGCTCATATGTACGTTCACCCTTATTTTTCTCCTTTAATTCTTCTGACCACTCTGAAAACCAGGAATTGTTGTAAAAAACCCAATTATTGTAAAAACCCAATTGTAACGTGAGAAAAGCAAAAGTCAGAGAATTAAAATGATTTGCCCAGGGTGGAGGGGAGACCACTAGGTAGGTAGCAGAACTGAGTGAGTCTAGGGCTCCTGATTCCCAACACAGAAAATAACACAGTACACACGCATGTCCTTCACCCGATTCAATGACCATCAGAATCATATTTTCTTCTTTTTCCTCTCCTTAAGTGTCTTAACTCTAGACACTGTCATTTCACTCCTACATACAGCAGTTAGCATCTCAAAGCATACTGGGTATTTATTTTCTTACATAACCACAATAGCATGGGCAAGAAAAAATGACAATTCCACAGAATTACCTAATACTTGTCCACAATAAAATTCCGCTAATGGTCTCAAAAGTATCTTTTTAGAGCTGGTTTGTTTGAATAAGGATTCATACGGCACCCACAAGTCACATTTGGTTGTGAGACTCCTTCAGAGCCCACCAGTCTAGACAGCGCCCCTCTTCTTTTGTTCATCCCTGTTGACTTGCCCAGATCTGTTTTACTTTCACTCAAGTGCTGAAAATATGTGGATATGAGAACATTCTCTACCCCTTCCATAGTAAAGCCTGAGGGGAACTGTAATTTAGTCCAGTTTTTTCTTTTTCTGTTGTTGGAGAGTGATGGTTACTATTGATTCTCTAGCTGGCTTTCGCCACTGTGTTACAAAAAAAAAATCTTTTTTTTTTTTTTTCAAGAAGCCTCAGTATAAAGGAATTAAGCCTAAACTACTCAAGTAGACACTGTAGGACACACTGAGGAATCTGAGGCTTTCTTCTCTCTGTTGAGAGCCACATGGAGTCTCCTTTCTCCTGAGCATTTAATGGCAGCCTGTCCCCTTGACATCCATCACAGACTTTAATTCATACAGATTATGTGCACGGGGTTTAGAGCCAGGCAGATATGAGTGTGTGACCTTGGACATGGTACTTTCAACATCACTGAGCTTCAGTGTCCTCTCGTGAGAGTGGCAGCATGCTAGTACCTGCCCTCATGGATCCTGTGAGGATGACCGAGATGATGAGGGCCATGCTCTTGGCACAGTGAATCACTGGCACTCTCATTAGTGCAGGGATCTCATCATGTGTCTGTGACACAGTGTGGCCTGGTCTCCATTCCCTTTGATTTCATCCCCTCCTCATCCTCTCTCCTGAGCTCACATGGCCCCAGCCACACTCACCTCCTGCTGTCCTCCAGCACACCAGGCTCACTCCTGCATCAGGGCCTTGGCGGTGGCTGTTTCCCTGGCCCAGAGTGCACTTCCTTTCTATATAAGCATGGTTTATACTTCAGGTATTTGCTCAGATGTCATGTTTTCAATGAGCTCTACTCAGACCTCCCTATTTAAACCTGCAACTCACCCGTCCAGCTCCCAATCCCCCTCACTGTGCTCTCTTTTTACCCCTTCCCCTCAGCCCCATTACCTCCCAACACACTGTATTATTTCCTTATTATTGTATCATTTACTATATGTCTCCTCACATAAGAACACCAGCTCTGAGGAGGCAGGGGTCCTTGTTTTGTCCACAGATAACACTGCAAGCACCTAGAACAGTATCTGGTATATATAATAGGTTTCAATAAATATTTATTGCATGAACAAGTATCTATACTCTGAGCTCCCTGAGGTCAGAGGGGTCTCCTCCTTCAGTGCCCGGCCTGAAGTGCTGCTGCAGGGTCTCCAGCCCAGGAGTCTCAGCTCAGGCTACATATCAGACATTCCTGGGAGCCTCTGAAGAACACTGATGCCTGAGCTCCTTCCCCAGATTGCGATTTAATTGGACTTGGGTGGGACCCTGTACTAGTATTTTTAAAAAGCTCCTTAAGTGATTCTGATTCTTAGAGAAGGTTGTGTGTTCCTAGGTGTCCAGGAGCAGAGCAGTTGGTCATCCAGGACGAACCAGGCTTGTGAACATTTTCATCCCTAAATGCTGGCTCCTCTGAGCTGCCGAGGGAGCTGTCCCCGTCAGCACTGGCAGACACTTCTGTGGGGAGAATCACCGGCTTCTCTCCCTGCTACCCCAGCCTGCTAGAGCTGGAAGGACTCACAGAGCATCCTGGCCACCCACACCCTCCTCCTATGGCTTCAACCCTCTATTCCGGGCAGATTCCTTAGCTCTCAGGTCAAGGGTGTCCCAAGAAGTGCCAAGCCTCCTCTCTTAGAAGCCTGCATTCAATTCCACAGACATCTCCTGACCCTTCTCCTACTCCAGGCCCTGTGGTAGATGACAGCATGTCAGACAGAGGAGATGGATGGCTTGATGATCTGATGCAAAGGAGAAAGGTATTAGGTCTGTGCTCTGGATACAGGGCTGGCGGAGGCTGGAGGAGGAGGTCAGTGACACACCCTGAGGAAGGCTTTGGGGAGGCTCTGGGGCGCAGGCATCACTAGAATGGAGCCCTGAGGAGTGAAGGGGCTGCTGAGATGGAAAGGGTGTTCCAGGGAGAGCCAGGGAGGGAAAGGCCAGGGGGTGCTTCTCGAGCCGGCGTAAGCAGGGACTGGAACTCCATGCCCAGTGGACTGGACGGCTCAAGAGCCCAAGGCCATGCTTAGGCCTCATCTGTTCTTTATCGGTGTTGCTCCTCCCTCTCTGTCCATCTGGATCCGCCCACCCCAAGTCCATCCAGTTCCTCCCTCTGCCTGGAGGCCTGTGTCAGCACAGCTAGCCTTGTGGTCTTCTCCAAGTAAGAGAGCTTTCTACTCCGTACACTGCTGGATTCCATGCCAAGGGCTCTGTGTGTACTGTCTCATGTGTGTCACTTGGCAGCTTGAGGGAAACAGGACAATCACCCCGTCTTACAGCGGAGACAGCCAAGGTTTGGAGAGGGGCCAGTTCATCACGTGGCCAATCTGTCCACCTAGGGATGGCATATCAGGGTTGGAACCTAGGGAGTCCTGCTCGAGACTTGCTTATATGTTTGTCCTCTGCAGAGAACTGTCCCCATCCTTTCCCACTGCGGCCACTGGTTGTCTATACAGTCCTGTGAAACGCCAGTGCTGTTTTTTCTTAGCACACAGGCTGCAGGACCTTGAAAGGCAGGAACCAAATTCAGCTCTCCTCTTACGTCTGCAAAAGTATCGGCCCAGTTTGGAGACACGCTATAGCTGTGCACCACAGATGCTAACTGAATCAACAGGCTGCATAGAACAGCAAGGAACAGCCTGGGCTAAGGAAACCAGGTAGGAGTCTCTGCTTTTTCAACCAGCTCTGTGACCCCTATGTCATTTATTCTGTCTGTCCCTCCCAAGCTGGGTGAGACCAGTCAATTTCTGCAGTCACTGCAAACCCAGAGGCTCCTGCCCAGTTTTCTATACCTACCTCTAAACGCGTCCGGTCCACATCCTTCGGCAGTCGGTTTCTCCCTCTTGTGGTCACCAGGAGCAGCTCATAAGGGTAGATCTGAGGAGACAGGAGGGGGTGTTTGTAGGTTGGGTGAGGGTGGTGGCTGCGATCCCTCTTCTATCCAGGAAGGGCCAGAGATTATCAAGTCTGGAGGAAGCACTGGTGCGTCCTCTTTGGGGTTTCCTGGCAGCCTCAAGGCACCTTCTGCCAAAGGCAAGGCCCCAGAGTCCTCGGATACTGCCAGGGATGAGCATGGTGTGTGAGCAGAAGGGCTCCTGAATGTGAATGTCTCATATTTGTAATTGGCATGCCTCCAGAAATGTCTCCGAGACCTGGGGGGAACTGTCTGGTTTCAGGAGGCAAGAGATGTAGGGCAGGATTCAGGGAAAGTGCCCAAGGAAATGCTAATTTTCTTGGGACCGGAAATGCTAATCCTGAGAGGACCCTTAGGGTTACTTTTCAATGTTCCCTTCTTTACATAGACAGTGCTGTCATCTTGCTGCTCGTCCCCAGTGTAGCAACTTGCAGGGTCCCAGAGACCTGCAGGGTCTATGTATCTTTACCTTGTACTCTGCAGAGAGAAGAGAGACACACAAAAAGTAGAAACCATCAGTGTTGGCTTTGAATCCCTATACTGGCTTCTGTTATAGAGACCCTGTCCTTATTGAATTTATCCCAAATCAAGGCTGGTTTGAATACAATGGAGAAAGGGGTTGGGCTGATCCAGCAACAGGTTTTTAGTGATATTTAGAATAGAAATAAGAAGAGTCTGGGGGCCATGAAGCACATGGGTGAAGTCCTTCATCTTCCAGGGGGATTCCTCCAGGGTTTGTTGTGGACCTGCCTGAGACTGCTTACTGGAGCCGGATGAGGCTGGTGGAAGAGCATCACAGTGTGAGGCTCATGGAATTTTTTCTGGGAACAATGTGTCTGGCCTGAGTGTTTCCCTCTACCCGGGGGGCTGGCAGGCAACTGCAGTTCAGCAGTACTGGGAGAAAAGCAAGCACTCTGTGATGGCTCTGGGAATGCAGATGGGACAAAAGGACTGGAGATCACCCAAGGCCAGGGACCTGAGAGGGTGAGGAGGGAGGGCGGGAAGTGAAAGGGAACTCAGGGTTTAGATAGAGCCCAGGGTGGGGCCATAATTGTTTGTCAAATGGGCAGCTGTGAGCAGTGCATTATAACAAGGTCCCTGTGAAGTCCCAGGAGAGGCCCACACTCACCTCGCATGCCCCAGTTGACGGCGTTCATGCTGTCGTAGTGGAATAGGTCTGCGCTGGGTGTCTGCAGGGGAGACAGAAGCAGGGCTGGCCTGAGGTGGGCTTACCTCTGCCTCACTCAAGTCCTCACCCATCTCCAGAAAGTGGACTGGAGCTGGTGGGACTCGGCGCTGTCTCAGAAGCCTCAGTCTCAAGTTGGGATGATTTAATTTGCTGCCGTGTGCCTAGGCCTGGCACATAGTAGGCACTCCGTAAATAGTCATATGTTGGTGAACTGCAGCATACGCTTTCTTTCATTACTCAAGTATAATTTTTTCTATGAGAGCTACCCTCACAGCTCTATCTAAAATTACAAGTCGCCCCTTCCCCAGCTCGCCACCCCTCTTGTCCTGCTCAACTCCCCCTTTTTTTCCATAGCACTGACTACCTTCCAAGTAGTGTATAAGGTGATTTGTATACTATGTAACTCCTACTTGCTTTCTGTTTCTCCCTATAAGAATATAAGCTCCAAGGGGCAGGGGTCTTTGTTTGATTTGGTCACTGGTATTCCAGGCACCCAGAGCAATGCCTGGCATACACAAATGGCTTTCAGTATAAACATCTGTTCATGAACAAACGTCCAGGATCTGGGTGTGTTGAGGACAGGGTCTGTCTGTCCTCTGCTTGGGAGAGGGGATGGTATTAACACCAGCCATCACTCTACCATGGAGCTCTGATCCCTTTCGTGTGCTTAACCCTAAAATTGCCTCTTACACAATCCAGTCTCCCACTTCTGTCCCTCTGCAGTCTCTTCTCTACACAGGGGGAAGCCCATTAAAAATCTGAGTTGGCTGGGGCAGCACACCCACGGGAAACCTTCTGAGTCTTTACCAGCGCTGGGCCCTAATGACACCTGTCCGGCTTCATCTCCACGCTCACTCCATCCCAGCCTCGTGTCCTCTCCACCCAGGGGCTCTGACACGGTGCTTGCCTCTGTTTGGGTGGCTCTTCCTCGTCTTGGACAGGTGAGGTCATCCCTCCCTGCACTCAGGTCTTTGTTTAAACTCACCCCTCTGACCTTCTCCAAGTACACGTGACTGCTGACTTTAAGTCACACACGCACTTATGGGTCGTCTGTCTCCCCAGCTAGAATGTGAGTTCCACAGGAGCAGCAAATATGTTCACCATAGGACCCCCAGCACCCTGAACAGTGCCTGGCACTTGGTAGGTGTTCAGTAATGAATGTCTGTCTTAATGTCCCTTCCCTTGCCCCATTCCTTGTCCAGTCACAGAGCCTCTCCTTTTGCCAACAAGACATTTTTCATTCCCTTTCAGTCCTTAAACCAACTCAGCTTCCATGAAGGTTCTATGCTGTGGGATATCTAAGAGTTCAGAAGGCTCCAGGTCACAGCAGGTGAGTTAGTCAGGTCAGGCTGTGGGGGCAGCTGGCCTGAGCTCGAATCCTGGCTCAGCACTTACTAGGAATGAGAGCTCAAGCAGGTCACTGCACCTGTCTGTACCTCCATTTCTTCATCCACAAAATAGGCTATTAAAAATAGTAACTACCTTGCAGGGTTACAATAAGTGAGTGCTTGTAAAGTGTTCAGCATGGAGTAATTGTGCCATAAATACTAGGTGCTCCCAGCCCTCCCATGGGGGCTCTTTTGTCAATGCACCTCTAGCCCCAAAGCCTCTGTCCGGGTTTCATCCGTTAGTCATCACCCACGAGTGGATGCAGGAATTGTGAACTGCTTGGGGATAATGTCCCCAGTGCATCTTACTTACCCTGTGCAGCCCGTTTCTTCTGTAGGCAGGCAGGGAGGCAGATTTAGAGATGAGGGGGTCTGAAAAGGAGCCAAGACAATTACCAGAAGTCCCAAGCCAGGGTTTCCTCTCCCTGAGGTCATCTGGGCAAATGGCCAATGTTACTCCCTGCTTTCATGGGAAGGGGCATGGACAGGGGCCACCAGCTCCTTCCACTGTGCTCCAGGCTTAAAACTAACCATCTCAGGGGTGCCTCACCCTGGCAGAATTCAAGGACCACCCAAAGTACCCACTCAGAGTCTTATGGCCTTAACTGCTCACATTTACACTCCTGTGATGGACCCCTGTGTCCTGGCCACATCGTGGCTCTGAACAAAGGTCCTGGGATTTGAGTCAAGCTCAGAACTCAGACAGGCAGGCTCCCACATGGGTGGAAGATGGGTATGCTCTTTATTTCTCTCTGGGAGCCGTTGGGCACTGCAGCCCTGGTTCCAGAACCAAAGATTAAGGCCCACCATCTGACAAACGCACAGGGTGGACTATGTCAGATGAGGACTGTGTTGGAACAACCATGCTGTATACTCATCACAGCTCAGGGGGACCTCAGCTGACTCAGCTCTGGCCCTCACAGAACATGACGGTCTGAAGGTAGGGTGGGCAGAACGTACCGCTGTCGGCCAGGTAGTGGGACCGAGGGGCTGCAAGAGAGAGAAGTTGGAGGTCAGTGCTCATGTTGACTGACAGACAGAACTAGCTCTCGTTCCTGGGCCACCCTGGCCGGTGGGGAGGAGGGACGTCTTCAGTACCTGCTCCCACTGGTCAGTCTCTAGCTGTTGCACCTGCACCCGGTCCTCCCTCCTCGGTCCAGCATGTAGCCCAGTGCAGGTGCTCTGTGATAATTTGTTGCACAGCTGCCATTGAATGGAGCTAAACTTTGAGCAGCACTGCTAGAAAGTACAGTGCCCAGAGCCAGGGGTTGAAAACAGTGCCCCTCAGTGGTCAAACAGGGAAACAGCTCATCGGTTCATCCCGGCTCTGCCAGATACCCAGCTTCAGATTAGTAAATCATGCTTCTCTGTAACATAGGGAAGGACAGTGTCTCTTTTATAGGGTTCTTGTGAAAGATGTAGGGCACAATACAGTGCCTGACAGATACAAACCCTCAATAAAACTGGCTTTATCATCATCATCACTACCACTGTCATCTTTGATCTCACCTGGAGTCAAGGTGCAGTACATACAGCAAAGAGGGGAAAAAGCTTATGGCCTGAGTCACTCTGTGTTGGGTCTGACTTTGGGCAAGAGGTCTCTCCTCTGTGAAGTGGGTGGTAATAAGCCCTCTACGTTCTGGGTCTTTGTGAGGACCAGGGCTGTAGTGTATCTGCAAATGCCCAGCACACTGGATTATAATAATTGGTACCTTTGTTTATCCATCAGGTATTGACCTGAGATAGGATTTCCTGGCAGGACTGAATCCCACAGGGATTCAGTAAGAGATGAGGCAGGCAGAGTTATGCGTGGGTCCAGGAACAGGTAGGAGCTTACACAGAGAGGCTCTCAGGGCAAAATGCTTGAACCAAGCCTCTGATTGTATACCTCCAGTGATGGGAGGCTCACTACTTCAAGAGTCAGCCCTGTTTATCTTCAGACTATTAGAAGAGGTTTTTCTTTACATGGCACCTGACTGGAAGTCACAGCTTCAGATTGACCCAAAGAGGCAGAAGTGCCTCCTCAGGTCAGAGCATGGTCTTTAGTCTGTATTCTAGATCCTGGTGAGGCTGTGTGGGAGGTTAGATTCACTTAGGGAAGAACTGATGGGGAAGAAAGTGCTCTCCCCCTACCAGCAGGCTCTGGGGCAGTGCTTACAGCCATTTAGGGACACATCGTAGCCAGCTGTGTGCAGGGCCTCCCGGCTGCTGGTGGAGCTCCGGGGCGGGGTCCAGGGGTCTGCATAGGAACTGGACCTGGCCTTCATCTCTTCCTTCAGAATTAGTCTGCCGATTCCACTCTGGAGCTGGGGGTGGGACAGGAGGAAGATGAAGTTAGAAGGAAACAAAGAACACTGAGCTGAAACAGGCTTGGGGAAAGGCTGAGGGACCAGACTTCTAGCCTCTCACATTTTTTGCCTTCCCAGTGTCCCGCTACCTTTGTAGCATCCATGTTTTTTTTTGGGGGGGGATTTCATTTCTCTTCCACAAGGAGTCCTGTGGTCAGAGTGGGGCCCTGGTGGTGGGCACAGAAATAAGACCTGGCCAACAATAGCACTGTTGTCCACAGTGATTGGTTCAGTGATGGACAGATGGCTCTAGCTAGGTGAGGGAGACCCTTACTGGGACTCTTGGAGTTGCTGGCACCCATCTTTTTAAACCAGACATTTTTGGGGGTGAAAGTCACATAACATAAAATTAACCATTTTAAAGTGAACACACAATGCAGTGAGTGGCATTTAGTATATTCCTGCTACTGTACAGCCACAACCTCCACCTATTTCCACATCATTTTTATCACCCCAAAAGAAGACCCTCTACTCATTAAATGATCACTCTCTTTTTCCCCCTTTCCTTCTAGGCCTTGATAATCACCAATCTCTGTTCTGTCTCTGTGGATTTACCTCTTCTGGATATTCCATAGAAATGGAATCGTGCAGTATGTGGGCTTTTGTGTCTGGCTTCTTTCACAAAGCATAGTGTTTGCAGAGTTCATGTACATTGTACCATGTATCAGCACTTCATTCTTTTTTTAGCTGATACTCTGTCATATGGATATGCCACATTTTGTTTGTTCATTCATGAGTTGATGAACAGTTGGGCTGCTTCTGCCTCTTGTTTATTTTGAGTGGTACTGCCATGACCTGGGTGTATGTTATTGAGTACCAGTTTTCAGTTCTTCTGGGTATATACCTAGGAATGGAATTGATGGGTCTGTGAACAAAGAATATCTCCTGCCAAATCAATAAACAAAGGATGTTGCAGCCATCAAACCAACCTCTGCAGCCAGCACCCCCCCATCCCACGGTGCACCCTGAGGGAATTCAGAAGGGAGTAAAACATGATACTGGCCCTAGACAGTTCAGGTGCATATCAAATGAATCATTTCAATGAGCCCAGACTCTTGCATCTTCCCATACATAGAAAGGGGCTAAATTCATTAACTTGAGATGTTTGTTTTTTCCTTAATTATAATCTTTTGATGTTTGACTATTTTTTGTCTTGTTTTACAGAAACTCCTTTATCTCCTGGTTCCTCCCTTACCTCTTCAGAACTGTGCCTCCCAGCTATCTGAGAGCTTAGGTCCTTAGTGTCTGCTGAATAAAACATAATTCTCAACTTTTCAGATGTGTATTTTTTTTTTTTTGGTCAAGAGTTTTGACGGCCACAACGGGCTCCAGAGCAGACTTTTCTCCTCTGCCTGAACTCTAAAGGCTCCAGGGCCTAGGTGCCAGCAGAGGCTTCTCGGGCCTGTCCGCCTTCTCAGAGTCCAGATGAATTTGGGTGAGTGTCTCTTGTTACTGGGCTTCCCTTGTGGCTCAGCTGGTAAAGAATCCACCTGCAATGCAGGAGACCTGGGTTTGATCCCTGCGTTGGACAGATCCCCCAGAGAAGGGAAAGGCTACCCATTCCAGTATTCTGGCCGGGAGAATTCCATGGACTGTATAGTCCCGTGGGGTCTCAAAGAGTTGCACATGACTGAGTGACTTTCACTTCACTCTCCTATTAATGGCTGATGATCCTAAGTTTTATTCAGTGGTATTAAACTCCTCACTGGAAGAGAGGTAGGTTATCCTCGAAACTTAGTTTCAAGAAGAGGTACCTGGGTTATCCTCCATCTGAAGACACTGAAGATTTTTTGCCCAGTTTAGACACTGAACGCGTTATCCTCAGTTGAAATACTGAGGAGACTTGGCTCAGCTGTAAGACCCTGAGTAAGGTTGGACAGAGTAATTATATAGAAGACTGGATTGTCGTTTTTCCTTGAATTGGATGCTTTATAAAGTTTGCAAAAATAAAAGTGAAGATATCTCATGAGAGCTTTCAGCTCAGAAAGAACATCACCTCCTGGCTGGCAGTGGCTTTCTCAGGAAACTGAGAAACTTGTGGGAGTGATAGAGGCAAGTCCTCACACCGTGCAGCTGTACCCATAGGGTAACTCACTCTTTTTAATTAAAAACTTGCTTTCCATGGACATGCAAAAGAGCCAGCCAGTCCATACTCCAAGCACCCACAGTGGTCTCAGGCTACTGAAGGGAGAAACCAAAACATGAGAGGGCTAAAAGGACTCCAGGCTAAAATCTAGAGGAGTTAAGCTCACGTCAGCACATTGGCTCACCACCAGTCATCACTAGTGATTTTATTTCAACAAAGTGACCTTGGAATGGGGAATAAAGCTTTCAAAACAAAAAGAATAAGGATCGATGGGTTGCCAGCCTCTAAGACCCCAGCCAGATTTCTGCATGTACAAAACTTATATTCACAAGTACTTACTTCATTAGAAATTGAAGTAACTCTCATCCTGAAAATGACTAAGGCAGGGTGATGGTGGGGGGGCGGGGGAGAAGGGCCTCTTCTATTGCATACACAGTTAAATTAGAGGAAGCCGTGTTGATAAACACCTTTTCAGAATTCTGACTTTAAAGAAACAAAAGCCCTTCTAGGGAGAACTTGCATTTCTGTCCCTGTGTCTTTGAGATGTAAGTATTCTACCTGATTTTCAGAAACTTGCAGGAAAAAGACAGTTGCTTTTGATTCTCAAAAAAACTGGTCTGCTGTCTAAATATTTTATCAGTCTTTTCCACAAACAGCAAGGCCATAGTAATCTGAGCAAGAAAATTTAACTTAATAAAACTATTATTTATAAACTAAGTTTATATTGTAATACCTGAGTCATAACTAAGTTTTTAAGGTGAAGCTAATGTAAATATATACATACATTACACAAGGTGTCTCTACCTTCAGAAAATACTGTCAAAATTAAATTTATAAAAGAACTTTAATTAGCTTAAAAGTAAGTGCTTACAAATTAAATACTTCTAAATAAGATGAAACTGGCCAGAATGAATTTCAGGTTCATCTAGGAAATATTCAATATTAGATTAATATCTGGTATTAAAACTAACTTAAACTTGCTGGTTTAATCAAGACAGACATCTCTTACTTTTGTACCAAGCTTTACTGAAGGTCAGTAAGTTCATGTTATTTCTGTTGCAGCATTTGTCAGCAAAAAAAATTGGTATGATGATATTTTTGCAAGTTATAAAGATAAAGGTAAATGAGATTAGAGTTTTCAGGTGAACCCCTTAGGAATAAATATGATTTGGGTTTTTAACTGCTTTTGAACTATATTATTGGAGAAGACTCTTGAGAGTCCCTTGGACTGCAAGGAGATCAAACCAGTCCATCCTAAAGGAAATCACTGAAAGGACTGATGCTGAAGCTGAAACTCCAATATTTTGGCCACCTGATGTAAAGAACTGACTCCTTGGAAAAGACCCCGATGCTGGGAAAGATTGAAGGCAGGAAGAGAAGGGGACAACAGAGGATGAGATCTGGATGGCATCACCGACTCGATAGACATGAGTTTGAGTAAGCTCCGGGAGTTGGTGATGGACAGGAAGCCTGGCGTGCTGCAGTCCATTGGGTCGCAAAGAGTCGGACATGATTGAGCAGCTGAACTGAACTGATGATTTGGGTGTATTGATTTAAAATAGTTTTTGCAGATTTTTGGTAACTTAAAACTTTAGAGTTTTTCCTATTAATTTTAAAATTTTTCTTTCATATTGGAGTATAGGTGATTTACCAGGCTGTGTTAGTTTCAGGTGCATAGATAAATGATTCAATTATACATATAAATATATCCATTCTTTTTCAGATTCTTTTTCCATAAAGGTTATTATAGAATATTGACTTCCCTGTGCTATACAGTAGGTCAAAAGGACAAAAGATTTCAAAAACAAATACAGATCACTTATAGAAAAAGAATCTCACACAAACTGTCAAAAGCAGTATTCCAAGAAAACTTTGTTCTCTTAACAGAGAGTGGAACCAAATCCAGTCTTGTACCAGCCCACTTCTAATAGTAATATCCAGTTACCTGTATTTGTTTTTGAAATTGTTTGTCACTTTGGTTAAGTGAGTAAGTATTGTTTCACAGTGATCTATGATCGTATTTGGCCAAGTGTTTTGAAACCTTTGTGATATTTTTGACAAATTTCCCAAAGAACAAATTCTAACTTAAGTTATTTGATCCCTAGCTAACTCTGGGATGCTTCAAAGAAATTCTGAGGCATCTCAGAAATGTTATTTGGTATGTTATTAATAAATCAGGGGTCCCCAGCCTCTGGGCCATGGACTGGTACCTTCTGTCAGATCAGTGGTGGCCATATTAGAAATAAAGTGCATAATAAATGTAATGTGCTTGAATCATCCTGAAACCATCTCCCTGTCCATAGAAAAATTATCTTCCACAGAACCAGTCCCTGGTGCCAAAAAGGTAGGGACTGCTGTGTTAAATTACTTGAGAAGCACTGTCAAGTTTATATTGTATGGGTAAATCTCATTAATATAGATATTCCAAAATTTATATGGAATTCCTGAAAATCTGATATGTCCCACTGTAAAGTTGCAGATCTTTAACCTTGCCATTTTAAGTCTTGTTGTTTATAGACAATCACTTGTTTTACTCTGACACTTCTATAAAATGAAAATCTTAAAAAAGATTCATTAAAAATGACTTTTGATAAGCATAAGTTTCTGATAACTTTTAGATCATACTCCTGAACTGGGTAAGAAATTTAAAAATGAATGGAAAACCCGACAACTTCATCTAGATCAACAGGAATTAATTACATGGGACTGAATGAATTGATAAATATGATTTATAACTTTATGACTTTTTCTGATATATACTGATTGTTAATTTCTGTTTTCCAGAAAAACTTTCCTCTTACACTATCACCTACAGCAAGTTGATAAAGTTAAGTATACCTTTGTAAACAAAGATGAAACATTTACCTTTGTTTCTCTACCTGATCCTTCCAGAATTTGGCTTTTCCAGCTGGATTCCCTGTGGACTTTGATGACTTATTTTGACCAGATTACAACTCATTATACTAATTATTCTTTTTAATGTGTTTTCTCTTGTTTTCAAATTATACTTTGTGCCTCTCTCTGCTGCACTATCAGTTTATTAATGTTACCAGCTGTATTGCTTATATTTTCTGTTTTTTTATAAGATTGTTGTCTCTTACATTACCAATGCATAATCAAGCCTCCAATAAATTTAATGTTATCTCAAGGCAGTTATTCATATACATAACTCTACATAGAATAATTGTAATAGAGCAACTCTAGATATGGGAAGAAGGAACAAGGGAAAACATATCCTGGATCGTAACAGACTAGTAAGACACATGACCCAGAGACTTTTAGATTATCAACAGGGCCTAATCCAAGAAAAATCAGTACATTCAGTGGCTTGTCAACAGAATCTTTATCTGATCTAGGAATGCACCTTCCTGGCACCAAGGGACAAAATCGGTCATGCAGTGCCTCCAAAATTGGTAGAATTTATTACCAGGAGGAAGCACTGTGAGCAAAGAATGTCACCTGCCATATCAATAAACAAAGGATGTTGCTGCCACCAACCTCTGTGGCTACTCTCAGTGGTATACCCTGAGGGGATTCAGGATGGAGAAAAACAGGATATTGACCTTAAGATAGTTAAGGTGCAAATTAAGGAATGATTTCAGTGAGCCCAGTCCTTTGCATCTTCCCATACATACAAAAGGGCTTAAATTCATTACCTGGAGATGTCTGTCTTTTCTTTAGTCAGCAGCAATCTTTGGATGTTCAACTTCCTGATTTTTTTTTTTTTTTTGCAAAAACTATATATCCTGGCCCTTCCCTTACCTCTTTGGAACACTTTCATCAGAGCTATCTGAGAGGCTGAATCCTGGGCTTATGTCCTGAGTATATCTGCTGAATAAAACATAATTCTTACCTTTTAGGTGGTGTGTGTGTGTGTTTTTCATTGATAGTTCCTGTTGTAATTCTACCTGGTAACTTTGTGAGGGCCACAGACCCCTCAGCAGCTGCACCACCTTCCCTTCCCACCAGCGATAATACAAGTCACTGGTACCCACTGACCACCTGATGGCAGGAATAACCTACAGCTAATCCTACCAGCTGACTTTTCTGTTATGCCAAGTTTTGCATTTCTTTTTTTCTCTTGTAGTTTGAGTTTTGTTTCTGTCCCTCACAAATGAAAAAACCCTCAGTAACATACCATGGCAGCATCTCATTCAGTGGTGTGGCCTGCTTACCTTGTGCATACTGCGGTCAAAGTCGTCCTCCTCTCCTCCAGATGAGAATCTTCTGGCTCGGGGCACTGCTGGAAAAGACAGCTAGGATCAGCTCCTGCCCTGGGGAGAGGCCATGGGGGCAGTACAGCCTGCATAGAGGGTTTCTGCTTGGCTTTACCACTTTCTGGATGGGTGACCCCTCACAAGTGCATGGTGAGCTGTCTTCACCACGGGCCTCCCTGTACCGAGATGCCCGGTGTCCCTTCCCATTCTTGGGCTGAAAAGCTCCGGCAAAGCTAACTGCACAGACAGAGGTAAGAAACCACGATGTTAGGACTCTTGCTGACACTGGCAGGAAAGGTGCTCTCTCTGCCAAGGGCGGGGGGTCAGCCTGGATCCGCCAGAGCTCATCCTGCCGTGAGGAGGACAGTCAGCCTGAGGCTGGAGCCACCCAGCCCCGAGGAGAGCTCAGGTCCTGGTGGTTCCCACCCACCTCTAGACCCAGCTGTACCCCAGAAACTTCCAGTCACCTGACCCAGGAAATCCTTGTTTTGCCTCAAGTCATTTGGAGATTTTTTAAAATTTTGTTTCTCCTTTTTTTGTGATTGAAATAGTCTCATCTAAGATTCCCCTCTGAACACTTATCTCCTGTGGACACTGCCCACTCCCCCACTCTGGGTTACATCTGTGCTTGTGTCGTAACCCTTTTCCAAATGGAGAATTCTTTGAGGGTGGGGCAGGGTCACCTCTGAGCTCCCATGAAACTTTGCTCAAAATGGACTCTCATTACTAAAGGTACATGCTGAAGCAAAATGGCCTTGATGACAGCTCCTCCCCATACTTGAAAGAAACACCACCTGGCGGGCTGGCACCTTGAGGAACATTAAGACCCCCGCCAGGTGCCTCCGAGAGCCTTCCATTGCTCACAATCCTCTCTTTTCCCTTCTCCAAACCATTTCCCACCTACAGCCAAAGTGGTCTCTTAGAAACATAAATCTGATCATGCCACCACTTTAAACAACTTCCTACTATTTTGGATAAATATCAAAATCCTCAAGGCCCTGTGGTATCCGGCCTCTCACCCCCCAGCCCCGCCCTTCCTTCTCTGAGCTCAAGATTAAGCTGACGGCCTTTCCTTTGCTCCAGTAGAGCCCATCCTCCAATCTTGGGTCTTTGCAGATGTGTTTCTATACCTTGTAGGCTTACCTGCTGTTCACCCTGTGGCAGCCAAGGCTCTATATGTGAGAAGCTTCTGTCATCTTCCAGGCTGCATGGCATGCCCCTGCCATCAGCTCTCTACCTTCTGTACCTCACCTCCCTCTCCAGTTGGGACCTATGTCTTGTCTACCAGGGCAAGGACCTGCTCTAGTTTGCTTTCCAGTGTCTCCTGAAGGCCCATGACTGCCCTCAGTACATGTTTGCTGAGTAAATGCATTCTTGTGTGAAGGAGTGGCGACCGTCTGTCCTAGCCCTCTGTGTCCCTGGTGTAGGTAACAGGGCTCTGGTCCCGGCTCCCTTGTGGAGGGGGGTGGTACCTTTGGGGGACCCGTGGTAGGTCCAGTACTCAGACTCCGTCGCATAGTAGGGGTCTGGCGAGTAGGCTGGACTGTACTTAGAGGCCTGGCTGATGTCTTCACTTGTTTTGCTCTTGGTTGCTGTCGACAGATCACCTGCAAAGGACCCAGAGAAAGAGGTTCAGGGAGGCCAGACATCCTAGAAGAGTGTCCCGGACACACTGTCCCTGTTTCACTGGGCTCCAGCCCAGGGGAGGGAAGCCACATCCAGGCCAGGGTCTGAGACATGGGCGTTAGAGCCAGAAAAGCACTGAGGTGTCAAGCCTCTCATTTCACAGCTGGGAATCTGAACACCTGAGGGGGAGGGCCTTGCTCAGACCACACAGCGAGTGAGACCAGAACTGGATCAGAACGAACATGTCTCAGCAGTGGTTCCCCCTCTGAGCACAGCTAAGAGTCATGAATAAAGCGGGTTACAGTGCAAAGTCGTGTAGGCTACATGCTTAGTATTTCTAATTAAGGAAGTCTAGGGCAGGGGAGAGGCCAGGGTATCTGATTTGTAAATAAATTTGGGGTGCAGGTGGTCCACAGGCCATTCTGTAAGAAACACTAAATGGATGAACAAATGAATGAAGGCACCCTCAGCCCCTTTCTCATCCACACCCCATCTCCAGGCCTCCAGGTATGTACTTCCAGGACATGGTGACAGAGAACAGCTTAGAGCAGTGGTTCCCAAGCTGCGCTGGACATTAGAATCACCTGGAGGAACTGTTACAAATACACAGCTTGGATTAAGTCCAGGGTGAGGCCCAGGAACCTCTATGCATCCCACGGGATTCTAAGGGACCTCCACATTTGAGGTCAAATGCCTGGGAGTATCACTCTCCCAGGGCCACTGCATTTGACAAGCATTACTCTGACCATGGATCTTAGGACACCAGCCAGCAGGGGAAGGTGGGGCTGGGGGGCGGTGAGGTGGTGGGAAAGGACCTAGGGGATACAAGGCCTTCCTTGCCCTTTTGAAATGACACCAAACCCCACCCACGGCCAGCATGAGGGAGCAGCCGACGAGGACCCAGCTGCATCCTTGTCGGCGTCCCTCCCGGTGGCCCTGCAGAGCCTTCTGTACCGGTTATTAGCTGCCCCTCCCCTTGCCTGGCCGAGCCCGCTCCGCCCCTGACCGTACCATGCCGCTTGTAGATCGGGGGTTTCCGGTAGATGTTACTTTCTCCGGCTGCCAGACAGATCAGGGAGGGGCAGTGAAAAGGAGAGAGAAGGACAGGAGAACAGGAGACAGCAGTTGGTCAGTTGGTCCCAGAAGAGAAGTGCTTAGCAGCTTCTCCCGAGGCTTCCCTCAGCCTCTCCCCGTGGACTTCCTCTTCTAAAGGTGAGCCTCCAACCTCATCCCATCCGGTTCCGGGAAAGGTGAGGGGAAACAGGGTGGATGGATTCAAACGGGGCTGAGGCAGGGGCCTGGGCTGGAATGGTGGGCATGCAGGTAAAGGCAGGCTTGTGCTCAGCAAGACTCCATGCGGGAAGGTGCCCCCGCCTCCACCCGGCGGCCATGCCTCATTCCACATGGACGTCCCCAGAACCTTTCAGCCACAGTTCCGCACTCTCGCCACCCCGACCCCCCACCCAAATAGACCAGATGAAAACTTTCTGGGGCAACTGAGAATGGTGGAGAAGAAACGGCAGGACCAACTTCTGGGAAAAAGTGAGTGGGCAGTGAAAACCTGGGCTCAGAGTTGGGAGACCGGGGCCTAGGTCTGGCTCTCCTGAACTTAGGGTAAGGCCTTTTCCAAAGACCCCCACCCTCTGCCTTCCTCTACCTTCCCATCACTTTCCCTCATGCTCACCACCTTCAGCTGCTCTGGCCTGCTGCAGGCAGTGTTTTAGGGCCTTTGGACTGGCTGTTTCCTCCACCCAGGATGTTTAACCCTGGGATATCTTTTGGCTTCCATGTCACCTCCTCCAAGAAGCCCTTCCTGACTACCTCACCTAGCCCAGCCTCCTTCACCCTGTCACTTTACCACAGCGCCCTGTTTTTATTACATTTAGCACCCATCTCCTGAAATTATACTTTTACTTATTTGTTTACTTATTTATTAGCTCTCTTCCCACACTAGAACTTAAAACACCCTGAAGGCAGGGAGTGGGCTGGTTGGAGCACAGCTGCACCTTCAGGATCCAGAACAGGGCTGGCTGTCCAGAAGGAACAACTCAAGGCTCCAGGAAGCTAAGTTACGGTCCTGAGCTTATAAGCAGCAGAATCAAGGATTCCGTCTCAAGAGTTTTGATGCAAAAGCCCATGACCTTTAGCACGGTTACTGCCACATCCCATCACAGCCCTCAGACCTAGGCACTTTGCTGGACTGCTTCCTGGTGGTCCTGATCAAGGTTGGTTCTGTCTTGTGGATGGGCTAAGGTTAGTGGACGTGTTGGAGCTGGAGGTGGGCTAGTGCAGGTGACTGGTTAGGGAGGGTCCCCAGCACCCATTTCTCCTTGGTGCCAGTGACCCCACGGAGCATGCACCCATGCCGGGAATTCCAGGCTGGCAGCCTACCTGGGATGTGAAAGTGCTTGGGAGCCTGGTAAGAGGTCGGAGTGGAGGACCTCACATCTAACTGGCTATGGTATGGAGAGCTCCGGCCACTCTCGGGCCCTGGAGCACGCAGGCAGTGGTCCCCAGAGAGAACAGAGGCACAGAGAAAACAGGCATTAATGCAGCGGCAGCAGTGACGGCAGCAGTGAGGTGGTGACGGCAGGATGGCGGGGGTGCTGTGCTCTCATGCACGCGTCTGCAGAGACAGGCTTGGCCCCATTGTCCTGCTTCACCCCCAAGTCAGGTTTTGCGGGTTGTAAGAACCAACAGCACTGAGCGTCTTTGCCCCTCTTAGCGCCCCACCTGGGCTGCTCCCTCAATCGCTCTGCCCGCTTCATCCCTAACCACTGAGTGGCCCTTGGTTGAGCCAGGCCGCTCTGGTCCTCTGATCCTCCCCTCTGGATGGGACAGGACAAACGATGGAGCTGCAGGCGTCTTCTCTCAGCCAGGGCGGCTGGGCGGTCTGCCACTTCCCCCACCCTCAACCTCAGCACACCACCCACTTCCGGCAGCATCTCAGTACCACGTACCCCTCCTCTTCCCCTGCCAGGGGCATCGGCGGGACTTGGCGAGGCCTGGGTGCCACAGGCCTCCCGGGAACCATGCTATGATGGAGATGTCGCAGGGAGCCCCGTGCTGTCTCCACAGCTGGGGACAAAAACCACAGTGCCGTCCCTTGGCTTTTCCTGTCCCTTTGGGGGCGTCCCCCTTCCTTACCGGAGCGGTAGTAGTGATGAGGTGAGCGGGAGAAGGTGGGGGACATGCCCTGTCGGCTGTAGGTGGGGGAGTCGATGTATCCTGGGCTGGAGGCCCGTCTCTGCCGGAGGTCCAGGTTCTCATAGATGTCCTGAAGGGGAGGAAGCAGGGTCATGAGCAAGACCTGCATTAGGGGGGCCTGGAGCCAAGGGTCCTGCAGGCAGCAGGGGGAGTGACGTGACTCTGGGATCCCGGGGGCTGAAGCACGGTGCTGCCCTCCTGAATATAGACACCACCTCCCTGAGTGATGCTTCTCAGGGCCTTTGCCCACTCCCACACACCCTTGAATGGAACCCATAGGTCAAGTCCCAGGGATCCTAACTGAGGATCACAGAAGCATCAGGGAGGCCATCCCTGGAAGGAAGGCTCTCCCCGCCATCTCTGCCCTTTAAGTCTCTGCCACGTCCTCCGGATCATGCTCTTAACTCTCCCTATCTCTGCTCAGGTTGTGGGAGCACCTTTGGAGGCTGTGCAAGAGCTAAATCAAGAGTCTGCTTGGTCAGCATAAAAGGACACGATTCTAGAAAAGGTCTCCCGGAACCAGCTTAATTACCTGGGAGTAGGGAGATAAGGTCCCCAGCGACTTGGAGGTGAAGATTGAAGGCAGCCATGGAAGGAGCGAAAGGAGAGGGGAGGGTGAGAGGGAGGGACAGAGAGTAGTTACACGGAGCAGAGAGAGGCCTGCAGCTGCCCCGCAGCCCCCCCCCCCCCACCCCAGATAACACTTCACCTCCCAGGATGTCAGCAGTGCTCATGGGTGGGAGGGAACCTTGAGATCATGTCTCCAAAAGGGGACAAGGGGGCTTGGGGCGCCTCAGGAAAGGATTGGTAGGGTCTTCATTGGGACCCCAGCCTCCCCACTGCAAGCTCAGAGCCAGTCCATGGCCCTTCCCTGACCCTCTACCAGTTCACGCCCCCTCTGTGGTTCAGAGGACAGGGCCCAGGGCAGGAGTCCCAAATGCAGGGCCAAGCAAGAGCCAGGCTGGTGCCATCAAGGCAGGAGTTGGTCTGGTGGGCAGGGGAGCAGGAAGCCGAGGATGGAAGGCATTGCCCGCAGAGGGGATGGTGCTCAGCTCCAGGGCACCCAGGCCAGCCCCATGGTAACACAGCTTATTTTCCAAGACAAGACAGAAGAGCAGACACCTATATGAAATCTCCTAATGTCTAAGTGTTGATAACTAATTTACATTTTTAAAAGACACTCTGTGAGTGAAACAAAACAAATCTGGTGCTGGCCTGTGGCCCCCTCTTTGCCATCTCTGGCTTCAGGAGACTCAGCCTCTGCCAAATGTTTGGTTTCCTTTTACTGGTCCATTTCAGAGGCCAGAACTCAGAGAATCTCAGCACTGGGCTCTTAAACCAAATGAAACCTCATCCTCCTTAAGAGAGGAAGGGGTCAGCAGCAAAGTGGGGACAAGGCCAGGGCCCCTTCTAAAGTGCCAGATAATCTCAGCGCAGGGGCCTGGGATGGGTTAGATACCTCCTGGGATATCTGCTGCCAGGACCACTAGTAGTAGCACCACTGCCTGCCCCAGAGAATCTTTCTCTTGTCCAGCAGCCATTTAGTTATTTCAAAACCCTTCTGATGCTGCCTTTTTATAAAAGTGTCTCTTGCCCTAAGCACAGGCCAGGGGCAACACCCAGAGAAACTACCTAACCAGGGTTTATAAACTTAACTGGCCTCTGAGCCTGGCTGGTGATGAGAGCTGGAGGCTCTGTATAAAACCTCTCCACTGTAAGAGGAAAAACGGCTCAAGCGATAAGTGGTCACAGGTTCTTGGCTTTAATGTTGGGGTTCTCAGGGTGTAGTGGGGATCTGAGAGAGTTGGGGAGCCCGTGTCCTGCCTACAGAGAGTGCTGCTCCCCGTCTCCAGGTGGTGGAAATACTGGGTAGTGTTGCCAGTTCTGATTTTTCAAAGAAAGCCAGATTTTGGATGAAATGGCTTGATTTTTAAGTGTTGACTACAAAAAGCAGTTTAAGAGAGTCTGGGGGTCACCACTGTGGAGGCCTCAGTCTCTGTGATTGAGGGGCCTGGGGACCCCATGGGCCCTCCTCTCCTCCAACAGCCCCAGAGAGAGGGCGAGACCCCGTACCTCTCCATAGCCACACCTCTCCAGCATCTCGTCGGATGTGTATCGGGAATGAGGCTCGTAGGAAATGAGGTCAGGGCGTTGTACCTCGTAGATTGACTTAACCTTGGGGAGAGCTGCCAGGTCTTTGTAATTAAGGATCTCATTATCCACTTTAGCCTGAGGAAGAGGGAAATGGACAGGAAAGAAGCAGAAAGATAAGTGGGAAAGGAGAGTGGAAATAAAAGCCAGGCACAGAGGGAATGAGCCTCTTCAGTTAGGATGAAAGACTCAGAAAATGTGAAAATAAGACAGGTCATTCATTCCACCTGGGCTGACGGTGATTGAGCACATGCGTGTGCTGTCCTGTGCTGTCTAGGAATGACCTCTAAATGTTAGGTCACTTCTGTGAAAGAAGGGTCAACATTGTTCCTATTTTTTAGAACAAAAAATTTTTAAACTTGTATGGAAACACAAGAGACCCTGAATAACCAAAACAATCCTGAGAAAGAAAAACAAAGCTGGAGGAATCAGGCTCTCTGACTTCAGACTATACTACAAAGCTACAGCAATCAAAATGGTTTGGCACTGGCACAAAAACAGAAATATATCAATGGAATAGGACAGAAATGCCAGAAATAAACCCATGTACCAATGGTCAATTAATCTACCACAAAGGAGGCAAGAATATACCACGGAGAAAAAGTCTTTTCAATGAGTGGTGTTGGGAAAACTGGACATCTACATGTAAAAGAATGAAATTAGAACATTCTCTCACATCATATATTGTTGTTGCTGTTTAGTCACTAAGTCCAACTCTTTGTGACCCCAAGGAGTGTAGCCTGCCAGGCTCCTTTATCCATGGGATTTCCTAGGCAAGGAAATCCCATGAGTTGCCATTTCCTTCTCGAGGGGGTCTTTCTGATCCAGGAATCAAAACTGTGCTTCCTGTATTGGCAGGTGGATTCTTTATCACTGAGCACCAGGGAAGCCCAACATCATGCATAAACTTAAAATGGACTAAAAACCTAAATTTGAGACCAAATACTATAAAACTCTTAGAGGAAAACAGGCAAAATACTCTTTGACATAAATAATAGCAATACCTTTTGGGATCCTCCTCATAGAGTAATGAAAATAAGAACAAAAATAAACAAATGGAATCTAATTAAACTTAAAATTTTTTGCATAGCAAAGGGAAATCAAACAAAACAAAAAGATAACCCACAGAATGGGAGAAAATATTTTCAAATGAAGTGACCAATAAGGGATTGATCTCCAAAATACACAAACAGCTCATGTAGCTGAATATCAAAGAAGACAAAACAAACAATTCAATCAAAAAATCAGCAGAAAATCTAAACAGACATTTCTCCAAAGAAGACATACAGATGACCAAGAGGCACATGAGAATGTGCCTAACATCACTAATTATGAAAAACGCAAATCAAAACTACAGTGAGCTATCACTGCACACCAGTCGAGTAGCCATCATCAAAAAGTTTAAAGACAGTAATTGCTGGAGAGAGTGTGGAGAAAAGGGAACCCTCTTACAATGTTGGTGGGAATATAAATTGGTATAACCACTGCAGAGAATGGTAAGGAGGTTCCTTAGAAAACTAGAAATAGAGTTACCATATGATCCAGCAATCTCATCCCTGAGCATATATCCACATAAAACTGTACTTCAAAAAGATGCATGCAGCCCAGTGTTCACTGCAGCACTATTTACAGTAGTTAAGACATGGAAACAACCTAAGTGTCTATCAACAGAGGCATGGACACACACATAATGGAATCTTACTCAGACGTAAGGGAGAATGAAATAACACCATTTACAGCAACATGAATGAACCTGGAGATTGTCATACAAAGTGAAATAAGTAAGACAGAGAAAGACAAATACCCTATGATATCAGGTATATGTGGAATCTAAAACAATGATACAAATGAACATAACAGACTCAGACTTCAAAAGCAAGGCTTATGGTTGCCAAGGTAGAGGGGAGGGTTAGACTGCGAGTTTGGGACTGACAAATACTCACTAGTATATATGGAATGGATAGTCCACAGGGACCTACTATATAGCACAGGGAACTCTACTCAATATTCTATAATGGGAAAAGAATCTGAAAAAGAATGGATATGTATACACGTATAGCTGAGTAACTTTGTTGTACACCTGAAACTCACACAATATTGTAAATCAACTATTCTCCAATATAACATAAAAATTAAATAAAATATTATTCCTGTTTTCCAGATGAGGAAATTATAGCCCAAAAAATCCTCTAACTTGTACCACTTAACCAGTAGGGCTGAATCCAGCCTTCCAGACCCACACACTGAGGGCATCCTTGAAGAAGATGCTGAAGATGTAAAGACAGAATTCATCATGACAGTAAAACACCAGCGAACATGTGATGACCATTTATAATAAGCCAGACTGCATCCCCCTTCTGTGGATTAACTGAGTTAATAGAACTCCCAGGTCTAATAGTACATACTAATATTATCCTCATTTTTACATAAGGAAACAGGCACAGAGAAATCAATGAACTCGCCCAAGGTCACATAGCTAATAAGTAGCAGTACTAGAATTCAAGCCCAGGCACTCTAGCCTGGGAGCCTGCCCACTCCATTGGCCTTTCCTGGCTTCCCGGGATGGTGAGGTCTCTGCCTTCAGAGAGCTGCTCCTCTCAATGAACTGAGGTGAGCCTCTATTGACCACCTGACTTCGCCTGAGTTCAGCCCTCTGGAAGCACAAGGATTGAGAGACAGCTCCCCTTGCTGGGGACAGCGCCCGTCTCATGGCGCCTGAAGCCAGCTCCTTTCTGTGTCTGTGTCCTCCAGCCATTCCCTGTTTCTGGTCACCTGGTTTTACTGTGGTCAATCAGAATCTGTCTCCCGAAACCGCTGGGGCTTACAAGGTCCTGAGGTGAGGTAGATTAAGAGAGAATCCAGGGAGACTATTATTCTATAATAGCCTCCCAGTACCTGGGGGGCCAGGCAAGTCTCAAGAGTCAAGACTGCCACAGACACAGCAACTTTCATAAAGACCTTAGGACTGTTGATATTTTAAACATGTCCCAAGGCCCTTCCACTCCTCAAACCCCATCCCATCCCACTGCTGTCTGGGCACTGTGCTGTTCATTGTCTGCTCAACTGAGACCCACAGCCCACTCCTGCTGGCCCCGCTCTGAGGTCCCACGGACTGTGTTACGGGCGCTCTGGTTGTCAGCTGGGTTTGGTCGACAGGGGGCGCCCGCAGGTCGAGACTGAGTGGAGAGAGGGGCTGTCTGTGTGTGTGTCTCCCTCGCATGGCCCTGCCCGCCCTTAGTGGACCCGGCTCCTGTCCTGGCTGCTCTGCCACAGCTCCAGCCTGGCCAGTCCTTCCCTTCTGCCACAGTAGGTCTCGTGGGTGCCCTGGCCCTACCCATGCTTCTGTACATGCTCCCTTCACACTGACACCCCTTGAACCACGCCATCTCGTTCCTGCTAGACCCTGCCCAGGTCAGATGCCCACGTCTGAACCAATCAGACGTGGGTGTGTGTGTGTAACAGAACCTTATCAGGAGACTCCACTTGCTGAATTAACTGCTGCCTTTTGTCCTGCGATGTTAGATCTTAACCTTGAGAGCTCTTGGCATCTTACAGACATGTCAATATCAGAGGCATCCTAACATAATGAGCAGGAAGGAAGAGAACATATTGGGCTGGAGGTGATTCTAGCAGTCAGTGGGGAGTGGAGCAAAGTTTGAAAGAACCTGCTCCTCCAGGTTCACCAATCATCCTAATAGCAAACCTCCATGTTTATGAACATGAAGCCAGTACTTGATCTTTCTGCCTGTTATGGAATGCCCCAGAAGTGGCTGGATGGACTCTTCCTTGAATTTGGAAACCATGCTCTCAATGGTCTGACTTAAAACAAGGCTCACATGACAAGGGCAGTCACTTCCAAGAGTAACTGGAGGTGAGAGCAGGGGAATACGGGAGGGGAGACACACAGGCCCGTGCTGGGCTGCCAGGGGTGACTGGTCTCCATGGATAAGCCCTCATTTGGAGGACACCGTGGCAGGTGCCCCCAGCTCCTGCTGTTCATCTGGAGTGGGGCTGCTTCTCCCAGGGGCAACTCTATGAACTCCAGAACTCCAGGGTGAATGTCATCAGGGCTAACTTATATCACAAAAGTTCAGAGGCTCCCCGGGGGGGGGACGGCCAGGGGCCAGTGGCATTCTGTGTTCCCATGTGTCTGAGCTCCCATATCCTGGTAACTTTCTTCTAGAGACATGCTCATTTTTGCCTGTGACCTCCTCACCCCATGAGCCCTGAAACTAAGCTCATTAATCCTACTTTAGTCCGACCCCATTCACAGCACCAGGGAGACTATTATCTCTCTTGCTCTGGACGGGAATCTCCAATGAGGACAGCCTGTGATCAAAGTCACTTGTCTTTTGTGGGAACCATATGGCTGTACTGCCCATATTGAAGTTGCAGTCAGTGGTAACTCATATCTCTTAAAGGAGAGGAAATAGTCTCGTCAATAGACATTATCCAGGGATCAAGGAGGAAACTGAATGTGGGTCTGGAGTGAAATAATGATGAAGCAATGGTGGGCAGGGCCTACTCAGGGCTGCTGGCTGTCTCTAGAGCTTCTTATGAGGAGTGGGTTTCCTGCTTTCCTGCTCTAGACCACTTCCCTCGTTTCTGGTCTTCATGGCCCTTTGACCTGAGGAAGGCTGCAGGGCTCTGGAATCCGGCCTGCTGACTGTTGGACCCCATGGCTACTGACTGCAGTCTGCTCTGGCTCGGCCTACCCCCACCTCTGCGATCTCACTTCCATTTACGTCTCAGGCCTGAGCTAACTGTTTCTTCCTCAGGAGTCTTCGCCCAAATGATCCTAGGCTGTCAGGTCCCTCTGTTCATCTGCAGCATCAGTAGAGCACCCTGCACAGTTTCTTATGAGCACTTACTAGAGTGCCATCTGATTATCTGTGGAATTATGGGGTCAGTGTTATGAGGACAGGCAGCAGGTGAATGCAGTTCACCAGAGCCCAGCACTCAGGCCAGAGGGGACACTGAGTACCTATGTGCTTAATGAATGAATGAATACATTATACATCCAAGGGGCCTGTGAGATCATCTAACTCAACTCTTGTCCCTTCTGCCACATCCCTGCAAATGAGGGGCATCTCTGTGTTCGAAGCCTCTGGGGCTGGGAACTCAGACTCAGGCAAGTCGTTTACTCCACTCCTGGACTCCTCACATGATCAGAAAGCTGTTTATGTTTGCAGACCCTTTATAGCCATGTTTCCACATTCCTATGGCTTCTTCCTTCTGTCTGCCTCTTTACCACAACCATCATCTCCACATCAACATCCCACCCAAGACCCACTCCGAATACCATTGTGATCCAAGTTTTCATCTTGCTCTGGTCTTAGTGAGTCCTGGGGAAGAGGCACATCACACTGGTTTCAGAGCTCCTGGTGAACTGAATACGACCCCTGTAACTATTACAAGGCTGTGGCCTCCACAAGGGCAGGGCCCACGTTGTCCATGTGCCCTGCTGCATCCTCAGGACCTAGCACAGAGCCTGGCACAGGACAGGCACACACGAGACACCAGATGGATGGAAACCTGACTGCCAGCTTCGCCTGTCTCTAGAGACTCTTTGGGGCTTCCCCGGCGACTCAGCAGTAAAGAATCTGCCTGCAACGCAGGAGACGTGGGTTCGATCCTTGGGTCAGGAAGATCCCCTGGAGGAGGGCATGGCAACCCACTCCAGTATTCTTGCCTGAAGAATCCCATGGACAGAGGAACCTGGCGGGCTACAGTCCATGGGGTTGCAAAGAGTTGGACATGACTTAGTGGTTGAGCATGCATGCCGAAACTCTTTCGTTACCAGGCCCTGGGAAGAAAAGGGGTGAGTGGCTGCAAAGTGATACATACGCAGATGACTCGGTTGGGTGACCCGATGCTAGATCCAGGGGGTGAGATGGATGTTTCAGACGTCCGCCGATGCTGTGGGAGAGAGGAAGACAGAGAGAGAGGCTGCACGTGTCGCTCGGTGGGGTGGGGGGATGGGGGTATAGTTCTTTGGGGCACATCAGTAACACTGCTAAAAGCACTCTCCAGCTCTTTCTGTACTCCCTCTTTATATTCTGCCTTTTAAATCAATGTCTGACTGTGAATAAAGTGGAAATGCACAGCACCTTATGTGGTTGGACAGAATTTGTTTTTCAAGTATTTTTAACTGGCCTGTTAGATCGTAGTGAGAGTCGCTCAGTCATGTCCGACTCTTTGCGATCCCATGGACTGGAGCCAGGCTCCTCTGTCCATGGAATTCTCCAGGCAAGAATAATCTACTCATAAAACTTGTCATTTTGGCTTATCCCTGTCAATAATGTATTTACTTTAAATGGATAAAAGTGGTTAGCATCATTCCTTAGCAGTTTGTTTATACAAAATGGAAAGGTAGGTTAAATGCTGTGTAATTTGCACAATATGCTGATTATTTTTATAGTGTACCCATTGCAAAATGACATCAACCTTAAGTGAGAAACTTAAAAAATCTTTCTCTGAACGATGACAATGATGGATTAATGGCTCCCTTAACAGAACAGCATTCTGTTCATCTTTGGTGCGTTTAAGAGAGTGGTAGCAAGCGCAGTTAAATGGAAAACAGATCGGAAATCAAGGATCACTGGTAAACTATGTGATTTTAGGCGTCTCGAATTCCTGATCTGTGAAATGAGGGGCTGGTCTTAAGGACTGCTGCATTCCCTTCAGGGTCTCTCATCCTACAAGTTAAAGCCGCCAGGGAAGCCCCTAGAGCATTCTAAGTTGGACTACACAGCACTGCTTCCCAAACGTAGATCAGGGACTAGTGTGTCTCTGGGGAGATGAATTTAGGAAGAAATTAGATAATACTGAGTCAGAGTGAGAGAATAAAATGTAAAATTCTATTTCAATCCTCTTGGTTAGATTAAGGAAGAAATCTTAATTTGGTCCTAATACATTTCAATAACAATTGCTAATTCCATTCCCCGACTCTCTCCCCCACTTTTTTTTAGAAAAAAGAAAGTACAGGCCATATGATTAGCTAAAATTTCTAGAGTTATTCTTCCAAAATACTTCATTTTCAATGAATCTATTTTCGGGTTATCTTCTATTTATAGAAAGCAATACTGATTTTTCCCCTGGGTGATACAGTCTCATTTTAAAATGTTTGATTAACTAAAAAGGAGTAAGTGATTTCAACAAAAAATAAAGTACATGAAGATATAAGTGGTACACAGATACAGCAAAAAGCATCAGGTTTGTAGACAGATAACTGAAATTCAAGAAATGCCAACAAAGAGAAGGAAATGGTGGAAGAAAAGGACAAATAGGTCTTCTTGCACCTTAAAAAGGAGAGGCCTTGGAAGAAACAGGGGAAAAAACTCACAGCTCAAAAAAATTTGCATCAATAAACCAACTCTTTCACAAATGAAACAGATGAGATGGCAAAGGATATAGTTTAACCAGCTGGTCAGAAATTGTACACATGCATTTTTAGTTGAGATTCCAGCAGATAACTTCAATAGCATCCCAACAGCCGAGTTAATACCGGGGGACCAGGGTGTGGAGACACTTTAGAGGTCATCGAGGGCCCCCAACACACACCCCAGGGCTCCCCTCCAGCATCAAGGACTCGGGAGCTGTGCCCCACCCCTCCTGCAGTCCTAGGATCAAGAACCCAGAGTCCTGGGCCTTCCTGGGACTTGTCAGCACACGGTCATCCAGAGGGACACGGGCCCTCAGCTGCTCCAGTGTGTGTCTGGGGAGGCTGGCTGTGCTCCTGCCTGGCGGCATGACTGCAGGACAGTCACCACCCTCTTTAAGGCCCTGCTTTTCTCACCAGCGAGGCAAAGATACAATTCCTTACCCATCTGCCCTGCGTTGTTAAAGCAAATCAGAGGGTGGTTGTGAAGATGCTTTGCAAGCTGTCAACTTCTGTGACAATTTTAACCACTATTATTAATGAATGATCTTAGGCTGGGGAAAAACCATGGCATCTATGCCTCATAGAGGCCACCATCCTGGCAAGTAATGAGAAGGGTGTAGCCTCGCTCCAGAAACATGAAAAGTCACATTCATACAGTGCTTTACAGTTTTCAAAGTGCTCTCACATCCAGTGTCTCTTGAAATCCCTTCAAAACCTCCATGAGGTGGATGTTACTGTTAAGGAAATCCAAGGATACAGGCACACGTCTGAAAGTGTGAGCACTAAGGAGTGATTCTCTAGTAAAGCACAGTGCCTCCAACCTGGGACTGGAAGTAGCTGGTTTGGTATCATCACCACCTTTGCTTACCTTTAACTTCTTCTCTGCCCGGGCTGCCTGCTTGCAGATGGGGTGCCAGACCTCAGAACCTAAGGGACCAGGAAAATGATAAAAATTTCAGACCTTTCACACCCACCAGAACCCTGGGCGTCTTCCCATGCCCACCCCCATTTACTCCCTTGTCAGCACACGTGCCCGACAGCAGCCAGGAGGACCCCTTGGTTTTCCTGGATCTCTGCTGCAACATCAATCCAGCCACCCACACACTCTCTGCCTGCCACACCCTGCCCTTCCCCAAGGTCCACATCTCATATGACATCCTGCAAACCTTCTTACCTGCCAGCTGTGAGTGACTTGGCTCTCCTTTGTGATCCATCATTCTTTGTATCATTCCCAGCACATATGGCCTTAAAACATACTAGCTTGTGGATTTATCACCCCAACTAAATTAAGAGATCCCTGTGGGTGGGAGCTGAGCTTACTTCATTACTGGGTCTTCCACAGCATCCAGCACAGGGCTTTGCTCTCAGCAGAGGCTCCGTACATGTTTGTGGGGTGATGAGATGAGTGGACGGTTGGCAGTGAGGGACACAGAGCAGGTGGTCAATAAATATTTGTCGAATGAATGCATGCAGTGGAGGTGAAATAAAGGGACGGTCTGTGTGAACTCCAGCCCTCCTCACTCTTTAGAGACTTAGGACAGTCTACCAGAGCTATCACGTTCAAGGGGAGGAGGTGCCATGCTGCATATTCTGCTTCAGAGCACAGTCTTGACCTGCTAAATCCTAAGAGACTCCAGACTCCTCAGATTTAGTGTATTCGGCTGCCCATGTTTTCTGGTGTAGGGGGGGTCCAGTTGGCCAGGCCCCAACTGGAGAGGCCTATTTGGAAAGGCATGAGCAACAGGTGGCCAGTCACGTGTTGAGAAGAAGCCCCAAATATCACACATTCCCCAAAGAAAGGACAGGTGTCCTGGATTAGAGGGGAAAATAGGAACATGTTATCCCTCTGGTGCCACTGTTCCTGTAATCAACCCTAAAAGGAAAGGAGCCAGCAAATGGCTAGATTCCTGAGCTCCCAGATGGCATTTGTTTGTCTGACTTTGTTTTTAGAATATCTTTTCCATTACAGTTTGTTGCCTGGAACCACTAAGGCTGGATACTGAGTAAGTGACAGCGGGTAGTGTAAGGTTGAACAGTGAGCTGGAGACAGGACGGGCCCAAAGTAAGCAGCCCTTCTGGGCTCTGCTCCATCCCAGTTTCTTCATCTGAGTAACAGTGAGGTGGGCTTTGGAGGGTCTGAGACGTTGTTTTCATCTCAAAAATTTGAATTCCAGGGCCAGTTTTGTCACTTGAGGGATAGGGATCTGATTCTTGTTTGCTGATGTTTGCAGGTGTTTGCTTGCTGATGCTCCCTGATTGCTTCTACACGAGTGTATTTCCTCCCAATGTAAAGTGCAATGGCTCTCGGAGCCCAGCAGGGGGACTCAGGGTCTGCAGCTGGAGCCAGAGATCGTAGGGTGTGTCCACTACCAAGTGATGGGTGGGGACCCCAGCTTTGGGAATAATTAGAGAGAGCATTTCTGGGTCCTCTCTGAGTTGCCTCTGAATCCACCAGGGGTTGTTTATTGCAGTGGCTCTGGCAGGAAGCACATGTTACAGGTCACTGTAGGAAATGGATGAGGGAGACACAGATGTCTCAGAAGGTCGTGAGATTAAGTGAGAGAGGCACAGGGAAGGTAAAGGGTCAGAGGGAGGTTCTCAGGCGGGGGAAATGAAGCGCAGAGGGAGCAGGTCAGACTAGATGATCTCTCCAGGCCACAGGCGTATCTGTTTTGAAATAAGGCCGAGCCACAAATGGCTTCAGCATTCTGCATACAGGAAAGCAGATTTTCATTAGTAGTGTGTGTGTGTGAAGGGGGAGGGAGGGATCAAATGGAAGAAATAAACTGTAATTAGTTATAATCTTTAAAAATTAAAGAAAATTTTTGAAATTTTTAAAAATCAGAAGTTTGGGTTTTGGCAGTATATCATTTAAGTTAAAGAGGGAAAGGGGACTTCCCTGGTGGTCCAGGGAGACTCTGTGCTCCCAATGTAGGGGGCCTGGGTTTGATCCCTGGTCAGGGAACTACTAAATACCACATGCTGCAACCCAGACTGGGCACAGCCAAACAAACAAATTATATATATATAATTTATATATATAATAAATATATATATATATAAATATAATTTATATATATATATATATAAGGAAGGGATTTGTTGGAGGTTAGTGACAAACAGATAAATGAAGGTAAGAAAAGATGATTTGATCATAAAGACCTCTGTGATATTATGGTCTGCATATGTCATCAGTCAATAGCTCTCTTCCTAAAATAGTACCTGATGCAGAAATGAATGAATGACTGGTTGGAGCCTATCTTTGTATTTTTTTTAAAAAGAGAGACAGACCGATATGTGCCCACAGGATAATGGTGACCAGGATAGTGAGGGGACCCAAAATTAGGCCTTAAAGCAGGGTCTTCTCCATGGAGAAGAGCAGATGTAACAGAAGGGAGGAAAGGACTTTTGAATATTTCAGTGCCTCTCCATGGGAAGACAGATTAACTTGCTCAATATGTCTTACAAAATAGAACAAGGATTAAGGGCAGGGGAGTGGGAAGTATAAGGTACTGGATATAAAACAGGATCAAGGTTGTATTGTACAACACAGGGAATATAGACAATATTTCATAACAACCGTAAATGGAAAATAGTCTTTCAAAATTGCATAAAAATGAATTAAAAGACTTTCAAAAATTGAAAAAAAAGTATTAAGGGCAGAAGTTTCAGGGAAGGAAAATTTAACATTTAAAGACTGAATGGGTTCATTCAGACAGTGAGCCTTCTGTCCCTGGCAGTATTCAAGCACACATTGGGTATATAATTGCTCAGCAGGGACATTTTTGAGGAGACACATCATATGGTAGTTACCCTAACAGATGTTTATTATCTCTCCATACCCTTAGAGATTCTGCTTCCAACTTAACAGGCACCTCTGTACAGAAAAAAAATAATTTGCCCCATTCAACAATCTGGACCCAGAATGTAGGTTCTGCAAGGAGAAGGATTCACATTTGTTTTATCTACGGACAAACCTGAAGGGACCACAGATTCTTAACAAATACTGAATGAGTGAAGAAACAAAAGAAACATGATACTCTATTTTAGGCCAGTTGAATTCTCTGAACTGGACTCAGAGATTTGGACAACTGGTATAGTCTAAACTCTGATATGACAGCTACAATTCCAGATTGAGTGTAAGATTTATTAGATTAGGGCTTGTTAAAATGGGACCTGTGGACCACCTGTCCAGCAGCCTGGTGAAATGCAGAATCCTGACCACCCCCCACCCCACTCCCAAGAATTCCTGAAGTCAATTTTCTAGAGGGGGGCCTGGGAATCTGCAGTTTTAACAAGCTCCCTAGGTGATTTTTGTTTCTAAATTGGAGAAAGTCAAAGTGAAGTCGCTCAATCATGTCCGACTCTTTGCGACCCCATGGCCTGTAACCTGCACCAGGCTCCTCCATCCATGGGATTCTCCAGGCAAGAATACTGGAGTGGGTTGCCATTTCCTTCTCCAGGGGATCTTCCCAACCCGGGGATCGAACCCAGGTCTCCCACATTGCAGGCAGATGTTTTAACCTCTGAGCCACCAGGGAAGCCCAATTGGAGAACCACAAGGCTAACTACCAGTTAATACTTCAAATCTGTTCCCCTGGAATGTCATGAAGTAAAGAAACCAGTGTGACACGACAGAACTCCTAACTTGCAAGACTTCAACACTGTTTGTTAGACTAGTGATTTCACGAGTTACTCTCTCATCCTCTGAGACTATCACCCACAATTCCAGATTCTGCAAATGTTATGGAAGTGAAAGATTAGCTATTTCTGATTCAGCTGACTCAGAGTCAGAAATCTAAATCTCCAAAACTGTCCCTCAGCAGAGCATTAAGGCTGTTTTGAATCCCTAGCAGAGTCAGCATTCAGTCTTACCTCTCTGACTGGTTACAACACACCTCAGCCCTGTAACATTTTGGCTTATTTAAGGTTTGGGGACCCACCCACCCACATCTCTGCCGGACCTGTAAATTGAATTTTTTTTTTTTTTTTGCATTAGTGGAGATTTATAAAACCAAAAGCTGGAGCTGGTGCTACAGTCTTCGGGAAGCCCAGCCAGGCTTACGGAGGCAGCAGGGACTGAAACTGGCCCACCGAAGGTTCTGTTTGGCAAACACAGTGTTTTTATTTTAAAGTATTTTTGCATATGAATACTCTGAGACCCTGCAGGAGGCCAGGGACCCTCCCAGCTGTCTGCCTCCCTGCCCTTCTCACTCACTTAAGCAGGGATTTGAGATTTCAGCCCCTGATCCCAGCCAGACTGTTAGGTTCCTTCTCTCGACTTCTCTGGATTGTAACAAGTGAGGTTTCTGAGTTCCACCTTTATGTTAGAAGCACTATTTCTGTGACATAGCCTTGCCAGGACTATGGAAAGGCTCCTTTAAAATCCCCACTCAGATAAACAAGTGTGGCATATCCATGAAATGGAATATTAATCAGCTGTAAAAAGGAAGGAGACACTGGTGCATGGTACAATGTGGGTGAATCTGGAAAGCATTATGCTAAGTGAAAGAAGGCAGACACAAAAGGCCACATCTATATGAAATATCCCAAATATGCCATCCAAAGCAGACTGGTGGCTGCCAGGGTCTCAGAGGAGGGGAAATAGGGAGCAACTGCCTAATGGCTGTGGGTTTCTTTTTGGGGTGATGACAGTGTTTTGGAACTAGATGGAAGCAGTGGTTGCATAGCATTGTGAATGCACCAAAAGCTACTAAAGTGTTCACTCTAAAATGGGTAATTTTATGTATGTGACTACTACCTCAACTTAAAAAAATTCCCCACCCCCACCACTAGGGGGACACTTCTGCAGACCAAAGGGCACTCTGCTGACTTGTTACTAAGGGTTCTAGTCTCGGCAAGAGAACAGCGAGTCAGCCCTTTTGTTGAATTTGACATGTAGTAATAACAATTGAGTGAGTGAGTGA